GAGACCTGGGATCGAGTCCCACACCAGGCTCCCTGCATGGAGCCTGCTTCTCCCTCTGTCTGTGTCTCTGCCTCTCTCTCTCTCTGTGTCTGTCATGAATAAATAAATAAAATCTTAAAAAAATAAATAAAACACAGTAGCACTTGATGAATGACTGCAGAAAGAATTAATAAGGAAATGGCATCTCTGACACTGAAAATTGTATGTCTAGGCAGAGAGATCGTCTCTGCCCTCAGGGCACAGCATAGCACCTGGTACACAGTAAAATCCTCTTTACTGAATGAATAAATGAATGAATGACTGAGTGTATGCCCTTGGATGCTGCAGGACAGATGATACAATTCTGAAAGGGGTGCTGGCAAGGCAGACCTGTGCCTCCCTGGGCTTCCAAGGGCTGCAGCGAGGTCAGGCAGCATGGGTCACTGGAAGCTGAGCAGGTTACAGGGAGAGGAGAGGCAGGGGGGCTATAGTCTCTCCTGAAGTCCAAGGTATGTGCAGGAGGCGGGAGACCTAACGAGGCAGATATGGGGCTGGAACCAAGAGGGAGACCAAGAACTACAGAGAAGCGAGTGCATTCCAGATAACCCTGGCAAGTGGATGGGCAGATCTTGGCATTGCCGTCACAGTGCACACCTGGGTGCCTCCCCTCCCTCAACCATCTTCATCTCAGTACTTTGACCAAAAATAAGAATTCTTCACTAGAACTCAGGAAACCTAAAAACCTAGAGCTATAATTTAAAAGATCTAAAATCAAACACTACATTTCCATTTAAACCAAGACAGGTAGGGATACCTGAGTGGCTCAGTCAGTTGAGCATCTGACTCTTGGTTTTGGCTAAGGTCATGATCTCAGGGTCATGAGATGGAGCCCTGCATCAGACTCTGCACTCAGCCTGCACCCTACTTATATTTCTCTCCCTCTGCCGCTCCCCCCTGTTTCCATGCTCTCTCTCTCTAAAATAAATCTTAAAAAAAAAAAAGAAAAAAGAAAGAAACCAAGACAAGTAGACTTTTAACAGCAATATGAGGAAAATCCCAGTCTGACATATTTGGAAAACATCTCTATGGGTAAGTCATTATGATAAGCACTTCCGGTGGCCTATGTGGAGAAAAGTCCAGGGCTACTGCGAACCTACCCCCCTACAAGTACACACCCCTGTGGGACACAAGATACAGCACAAATTGTTCTGTTACATTTTATCCTATCTTAAAGCTATAATAGGAAATAAAGGGATGGCATTAAAAATAACTAATGTTGTTGAGCCTTTAGCATGTGCCTGGCATTGTTCCTAAGCACTTTATAGGTATTATTTCTCAGAACAATCCTATGAGGTAGAGACAATGACTACTCCCATTTTACAAAGGAGGAAACTGAGGCTGCCAGAGATTAAGTAACTAAGGAAGGATTGGAACAACTGGGATTAGAACTCACGTGAGTTAGTTTAGCCACCATGTTGTATTATCTTCCAGAGATCAATACAGCTAAGAAAGATTATTGGAGAAGGCAGGGTTTGTCGTGGTCTTTCAGGAACAAGAAGACCATCAGTGGCAAGATACAGCAGGAGAAAGAATTCAAGGGAGAGGTCAAAGTCTGCAGTGGGGGGAAGCCGGGAATGGAGGGAAGACACAGGCCGGACTGCGAGATGTTCAGGACATCTGTTCTACCCGCCCTCCACCCACTGCATATCAAAGTGGTCAAAATGAAGTCCAGCAAAACTCACTCCTCCAAAGAGAATGAGTTTTACTTAAGCCTAAGGCTCCAGTTTGAACTTTTATCTACAAATGGAGGCTTGAGAGGGAATAAAGATCACAGCACAGGTGGGCTTGAGCTTTCTTGTCTTCAGACCCCTTCAATAATGCAGGGGTCAGGTCTATAGTGAAGACCATGCATTTCCAGTCTGGGGAGTTGATGGGGGCTTTGCAGAAGTGAGATGAAAAGGAGGTGAAAGTCGGAGGACATAAAGGCCTCGATAGTCTCAGTGGAATAAGAGAAGTGCACCACCAGAGAAAGAAAGAAATCAGAGCTGCTATGGGATGGTGGATTTTTAGGGGTTTTTTAGGAAATAGGAAGAAACATATGATGCCCAAGTAAATCAGACAGTATGAATACCAAGGATGTCTAAATCAGCATGGTGATATTATTTCCTTCAGTGAATCCCAGTAGCTCAGGCCAGGGAACCAAAAGCCAAATAATGTCACCTGAAAAGTAATACAAGGGTGGAAGTGAGCAGATGATCCAGGCAGGGGGTGAAGGCAGGGCAAGCTTAGCTACAGCGAGATGGGGGTGGGGGAGGGAGAGCAGGAAGCTAATTTTGAAGGTCATGTTTGAGCCGGTGTAAGGGGTCACCTTGCCAAGGTGATGGGGCAGGGGTCAGTGAAGTGAACAATGGTAGGAGATAGGGATATCAGAATTTTAGAAAGGTCATGGGCAGGGATGCTGGTTGTCACCAAGGAAGAATGGATCTGGAGGTAGTGTGTGCTGGAAAAAAGGCATCCAGTGTCTGTGATGCAATGAGGGCAACGTTGGTGCTGAGTGCATGACGGTGTTGGGGAAATGGTGTGACAGAGCAGGAGTTGGGAGGGTGGGTGAAGGCCAAGTGTGTCACTTGGCTCTGTGATATGGTTCGGGGGGAGAAGAGGATGCCACATCACACTGCGAAGGGAGGGGCCAAATCTCAGCAAGCAAGGGCCACTGAGCAAAGGTGATGGTGTGATCCAGGCTACTGCAGAAATGGAGGCCCAGCTCAGGGTGATCTGGCGGGGCTGGGAGCAGAGGCGTTCCCCTCTCTTCTCTGTTTCTATGACCCACATGTTTGGCAAGCCAAGGAATGGGGTGGGGAAAGAAGAGATATTACTGTCTTTTTTTCTTGTGTTTCCCCCCTCCCTAAAATTTATAATTTTACCCTGTTCTCCATTGCATGCTGTAAGAGTTTATAATTTCATCTGCACTGCATTGTGTGTCTTAATAACCACGCTGTATTTCCACATGCTATTTTGTGATTATCTTAGAGGAAGCTCCAGTATTCCTGTAGTTTCCCTCTCCTCGAAGGCAATTTACAGCCTAATAGTCTTGCTATGCAACCATCCACAATTAATAAAAGTCAGATAGATAAGTGCTTTGAAGCATGACACTGTGCCATATGCCACAGGCATTCTTGAATTCCAGGACACGACAAAACTTGGGATCTCAAGTTTTTAGAATCTCAAGATTTCGAAAATGTGGTCTCAAAGAATTCCTAGGAAAAAAATGTTGACATTGTCCATGAATCAGCATAGAGAGGCAGCTAATAGCAGGGACTCAGGAATCAGACAGACCTGTGGTCAAACAAGCCAAGGCGTCCAACTGGCAGCTATGGATCTTTGGTCAAGTCTCATACATTCTCTAAGTCTTGGGTTCCTCTGTCTAAATGGAGATGATATTTGTCTCACAAATTGCTGGAGACTGAAGGACTTAATGCATGGAAGGAGCTCCGCATCACAAATGTTCAATAAATAGCTCAAAAATGCTTTTATTTTTAAAGTTATAACTGTTTTTTTTTACTTTGTTTTATGAGTTTCTCCAGGAAAACTATGGACAATTTGGATTTTATATCTAAGGTTTTTTTTCAAGCAACATTAACATAGTTAATTTCTGATTTTTGTTTTCTTCCCATAAGCTCAGGAGGTACCCAAGGGTCTTAATATTACTTTACAGGTAAATAATTAAAGACCATGAACAACAAGGCAGGAGACAGACCAAGAGTCTGTGCGGTCCTACTCTGCCTTCCCAGCTCTGAACACCCCATCACTATTCTGCTGCCTTATTTTTCCTTTGCTGTAGGACCAGCCCTCGACTCATTGCTGTCACCCACCCTTCCACATGAAAAACACATGCATATGTGCAAACATACATTCTGTTGTGTACACTGAAAATACAGAGAAGTCCGACATGCATGTTAGCTTTTGGTTATAATAAAGCCATATTATTCTAAGCTTAGTATATATTTATATACTTCATACTAAGCTTACTATTATTTATTTTATTTTTTCTTTAATTTAAATTCAACTAATTAACGTATAATGTATTATTGGTTTCAGAGGCAGAGTTCAGTGATTCATCAGTCTTATATAACACCCAGTGCTCATCACATCACGTGCCCTCCTTAATGCCCATCACTCAGTTACCCCATCCCCCTACCCCCTCCCGTCCAGTGACCCTCAGTTTGTTCCCTATGATTAAGAGTCTCTTATGGTTTGTCTCCCTCTCTGATTTCATCTTGTCTTATTTTTTCCTCTCTTCCCCTATGTTCCTCTGTTTTGTTTCTTAAATTCCACATATGAGTGAGATCATATGATAATTGTCTTTCTCTGATTGATTGATTTCGCTGAGCATGATACTCCCTAGTTCCATCCATGTCATTGCAAATGGCAAGATTTCCCTTTTTTGATGGCTGAGCAGGATTCCAGTATATATATATACACACATTACACTAAGCTTATTACTTACAATTAATTGAAGAAGTGCCCAAATCACCATTAAAAAAAACAATGATAATTTATGTTTTCATCCTTGCTGGTTTTAGATTATACACAAGAACAGATACTTGAATACTTAAAAATACTTAGCTCTTCTACTCATACTGGAATGGATCCAAAAGCATTATTGGTGAAGTAAACCAGAAAGTAGTAGTTCAGCTTAACTTCTATAAGGAATACTCCTGAATTGTAAGTGGAAGAAATCGTGGCCAAGTGAAGGACAGAAGGAAGTTTAAATCCAAATTTAAACTAGGAAACCTAATAGATGCATTTGCTAAGTTGTGTGGACATTCCTTAACATTGGTTTTCCTTAGAACTGTATCATGTATTCAACATCATATTGGTTGCTGTTCAAACAATTCTGAGTTCTGCTCGATCTGCTCTACCTACAGATTAGAAAAGTGCTGCTTTATGGGAAATAAAGCCACCAGGATGAGAGGAACAGAATGAGCATTTCCTCTGGAGCATGGCCTTTGCATACTTACTATTGCACGCAGGCATCTGGCAAGGTCTTATAAGAGGGGGCCCTGGAAGGTCTCGGCACATCGTCTCACTGAGGGGCACGCGTCGGCCTTTGGCTGTCAGCCTCTGACACACCTGCTTTCTTCGCTGGGTTCCAACACCACAGCTGACAGAACACTGCAATGAGAGTTAGGCACCTGTCACGTGGCATGTCGGCAGTTATGCACCTGTCACAGCCAACCGCCAAGTGTCCGGCGGCACAACCAGGGCATCTCACAGGTGGCTGTGCCAGTAAGTACACCATTTCCTAGGCTTGAACCCCTCTTATTTTTTATTTATCTTTTATTTCTTTAATTCAAGTATATATGACATACACCATTACATTGGTTTCAGGTATACAACACAGTGATTGGACAAGTCCATATGATATTCAGTGCTCACTGCGGTAAGTGCTGTCACCACGAGTCACAACACAGCATCATTATGATGTTACTGACTGTATTCCTCATGCCATGACTTGTCGTGACTTTTATCCCCGTGACTTGTTTTTTTTTTTTTTGAATTATCTTTTATAACACAAGGAGTTCCCTCCTCCCCACCCTCCCTTCCTTCTTTGTCTCTGAGACAGTAATTAATTTCCAGTAATTTACTGTATTGGGGATTTTTTGTCAGTGTAATTGATATCTATTTTATATTGGATAAAGCATGAAGATTTTTGGACAAGGAACCTTCTAAAATTTATAACCCAAGATCGAACTAGTTTAGAATAAATTCATTTTATCTTTACTTCTCTCCTGTTTCTACACAGCCCTTAAATGGTTGAAAGGATGTTTCTAAACAAGGTTTGGGTTGTTGTTTGCTTGTTCATTTCTTCTATTTTTTTTTCATTGAAAACACCAAACTGTTATGGACTTTAAACTAGACAGCCATACTGATTTATTTTTTAGCTATTTTTTTTATAGAGTAAGATGAGTACACTCTAAAAAAAAAAAAAAAAACCCATGATCATAGCCATGACCAAGACTTCAAGAAACAAAAAAGTATTAAAGTTTTTAAAAAATCATTCAAACTACTTTACATAAGATAACACTAATATTTGATCATCAATGTGTGCATAACACTGATATTTGATAATTCTGTGTACATGCAATCTTAATTTAAAAATGTAATGTAGTTTTATTTTTTATTTATTTTTTTTGTAATATAATTTTAGTAGGCATATTAGAAAAAAGGGAACTAAGGTAGAATTAAAGGAGTTGTTAAACATCTGAGGTTTTCTACCCACCATAACAATTAATTCCCAAAAGAACGCTGTAATGTTAAGGAAGAAAACTGAAGAAGCCAACAGAGATTTGGATGGTTGTTTTTAAGGTTTGACTCAGGAGAGTAGCTATTGGCCTACTGCTGAGAAGGATGAGGACATAAGCCCATTTGGTTCTCCCTCTCCCCACAAACCTCCAATTACCTCCATGATCATTTAGGAGACATCTGGATTTCTGATATCTACGTTCTGTATTGAGATGTGATTGTTGACTGATTAGTCTTAACCCTGTACATAAATGAACTCATTACTCATCTTCTGTCTTTTCATCAGTGTCTGTGCATTTATGGTGAGTCATCCTGGCCCTGCAGGATTTTCGCAATGGACTTACACATATTCTCTGACTAACTCTCTGTTGCCTTTCTTTTCCATTTAATTTATTTTTAATGTTTTATTATAAATTCAATTAACATATAGTGCATTATTAGTTTCAGGGGGAGAATTCGGTGATTCATGAATTGTATATGGCATCCAGTGCTCATTACTTCATGCCCATCACCCAGGTACCCCATCCCCCTACCCCTTCCCCTCCAGCAACCCTCAGTTTGTTTCCTAGAGTTAAGAGTCTCTTATGGTTTGTCTCCCTCCGTGTTTTCATCTTATTTTATTTTCCCTCCTTCCCCTATGTTCATTTGTTTTTTTTTATAAATTTATTTTTTATTGGTGTTCAATTTGCCAACATATAGAATAACACCCAGTGCTCATCCCATCAAGTGCCCACCTCAGTGCCTGTCACCTAGTCACCCCCATCCCCCACCCTCCTCCCCTTCCACCACCCCTAGTTCGTTTCCCAGAGTTAGGAGTCTTTCATGTTCTGTCTCCCTTTCTGATAATTCCCACTCATTGTTCATCTGTTTTGTTTCTTAAATTCCACATATGAGTGAGATCATATGGTATTTGTCTTTCTCTAGCTGACTTATTTTGCTTAGCATAATACCCTCTAATTCCATCCACATTGCAAATTGTATGATTTTATATTCTTTTGATGGCTGAGTAGTATTCCAGTGTGTGTGTGTGTGTGTGTGTGTGTGTGTGTGTGTGTGTGTGATATCTTTATCCATTTATCTGTCAATGGACATTTAGGCTCTTTCCATAGACTGGCTATTGTGGACACTGCTGCTATAAACACTGGGGTGCAGGTGCCCCTTCAGATCACTACATTTGTTTCACCTGGATAAATACCTAGTAATGCAGTTGCTGGTCATAGAGTAGCTCTATTTTTAACTTCTTGAGGAACTTCAAGAAGGCTGCACCAGTTTGCATTCCCATCAACAGTATAAGAGGGTTCCCCTTTCTCCACATCCTCACCAACATCTGTTGTTTCCTGGCTTGTTCATTTTAGCCATTCTTAGGTGTGAGGTGGTATCTCATTGTCATTTTGATCTGTATCTCCCTGATGCCTTTCTACATGATGAACACCAAGAGGAAGAACAGATAGTTGGGTCTGATTCTCTTTCCCTTTGAACTGTGCAGACCCTGTTCCACTGTCTTCATGCACTGAATGCTACTGTGAGGATGTGAGCAGCCAAACAGGGAGTTTTTGTTGTGTATCCATTTGCCCTTTCTGCTCAGAGGCCTGGGGGCTCCTTCTCTATCCATGAAGTTCTGCACTGTAAGCACGCTGTGTCGCACTGGGTCATATCTTCTTGGCACATTAGTATGCCATTATGACTTACAGACCAAAGCTTTTATCCAAGAAAGGTTTTTATTATTACTATTTGTTATTAATAAATTCTCCTTTATTATCTCTGAATATTTCTCTCTTTTATTTTCTGTGCCATTTGATCTGTTCTTTTCACAAATGCACTTGGGTTATTTCCTTTCCATCTTTCATGTCCATGGCTGCCCCTGAAAATCAGTGCACATCTGTGCTCTTTCCCCACATAGTAGACGCATCATTCCAGCCTGTACACATCTGTCTTCTGTCACTTTAACTTTGTTGTTGTTTGTAATATGTTTTTTTGCCCTGAATGTTCCAGCTGTCTTCTCCTTTTGTTGACTTACAATCTCATTTTGAGCTCAAACCTTGTTTTAAAGCCAGTTTCCCGCCAGACACCGTAACTATAATTTTCTCAGGGACACAGAGCCTATTTGTTGGCAGTGGTCCCTGGGGGATAGTGTTGTGATATTACCATCATTCATGTGGCTCTTGCCTGGTGTTGATGCACGGGTTTTATGCTGGACCTCTGAGTGCAGCTCTTTGCCAACAATGTGGGCAGAGGATGAGGAAGGGCAGCTTACATCTGTTGTGTGCAACACTCTGGCACCGCATTTTCATTTCTGTTGCCCATGTCTGTTCAGCTCTTGGCATTTGAGTGGCTGGTGTGACTCAGAGAAAAGCCTCTTCCGCAACTGGCTCACTGTGTAATAATCCAGCAACTGCTGCCCCTTCTTCCCACTTCTTCATCCCTGGCAGCCATCCCTCGGCCAGGAGGGCCACAAATGCCATGTCTCCTTTGGTGCCACCTGCCCACAGTTCTGCAGGAACATTCTCAGGGCAGCTTATCTGCCCTCTGTAATCAGAGGACCACTGAATAGGCCTCAGAGGACCGTCACATGTCGTCCTAGGGAGATCTATACCGAGCACGGCGCCTGAGGGATACTTGCCAGCTCGCAGCCTTCCCTCTCATTTTGGCCCAGGTTTTACGGCCTTTGGCAGGTGTGTTCCATGATTTATAGTTTGGGATTCTAGCCATTTCATTGTTCACTGAAGACAAACTGTTCCCTCTCTTCCATTCTCCTTGTGGGTTTTTTGTTGGATTTCAAAGGAGTAGAATGGAATTTTCTTAAAGTCCTTTTGTCATTGTTAACAGGAAGCCCTCAACTATTCATATTTTCAGTACAGAGAAAAGCTTTTTGTAAACTTTTGAACAAGTAACTTTATTTTTTTAAATTTATGATTTACTATTTTTTTTAACCAACTCAAATCATCATCTAGGAGTTTCTCATTTAATAAAAATTAACATCAACTTTTTTTTTCTTTTTAAAGATTTATTTATTTTAGAGAAAGACGGAGAAAAGGAGGAAGAGCAGAAAGAGAAGGAGAGGGAGAGAATCCTTAAGCAGGCTCCCCACTGAGGACAGAGTCCAATGTGGGGCTCAATCCTAGGACTTCGAGATCACAACCTGAGCTGAAATTAAGGGTTAGCTACCCAACCAACTAAATCACCCATGTACTGCAAAAATTCACACAAAATTTTTAATGTTGGTTCATGTAACAGTGAGTTACATAATTGCCAGTCTCCACTCATAAGCCATTTCTAATAATAAATATATGATTTTTTCCTCCCCATTATGAAGCATCATAATGAGGAGCATCATTTGTAAACTACCTCTCGGGATGGAGATCTTATGTGACCTTGTGTTTTCTAAGTTCAAAGTTAGGGTGCCATTAAAGAATGTTCCCAACTCAGAAAAAGAGGAAGGGACAGAATCAGTGCCATTAATTACAATTCACAAAGCCACAACCTTTTGCCAAAGCTTCTGCTATTTATTCTACAGATCTGGTAGATTCCTTGGGAAGAGCCCCAGGGAACAATATACCTTGAGTTTTTGCAACTTTGTAACTATTTATCTGTGATCTTTACACTTTAAGGTCACCTTGGTAGGATATAACATCCTTGGCTCACATTTTCTTTTTTGAAGTATATTAAATATGTTGCTCCATTGCTTTCTAGTATGAAGTGGTCTTGTCAAGAAGTCTGCTGCTAATCTGATTTCCTTTCCCAAGTCACGAGTAAGTGACTTGGTCTTTTTGCCTGGATACACAAGTACACTTTCCCTTATCTTTAAAAGCACTACTTCAGCAGAAGATGTCTTGATATTAGCCATGGTGGGTCCGTTTACCCAGGGTTGT